GTCATGGTTAAAGATGTTTATCTTCACACTTCTGATTGTACTGAACTATCTCTTGTATTGCTGATTTCTGATAGTTGCCCATAGCCTCCAGTTATGGCTGGCAGAGACCAATAATGCAGACATTCTACAAAGTGTAATGGTCATGTGCATTACCTGTTTGAAAATGTGCCAGCTTATGTTAAACATTTCTGCTATTGCCCAAAGGGGGCTCAAAAACAATCAATCATTCTATAATCAGCTGGTTAGCACTTTCCCATCAGTGACAATAAATGGATAGAAAGTGTGAATTTCCTCTCATTTGTCCTGTTTCCTCCAACAAATAAAAATAAATTATAACCTACAGGTAACAGTGCCTAGACAGCTGCGCTTTTGATTCACACTGCAGGTCACTATTGTATTAATAAGCCAATGACAATGTTTACCGTAACCAGCACCTCATTTTGGTTTGATGCTAGATTAGATTTGATTCCTAGTAAATCTTGGAATAGGAATTTCTAATGCACGGTACCTGCTTATTTAATTATGTTAGATAGTATTGTATGATACTGCCTTATCTAGTTTTATTAGTGTACAATATGTGAAATAGAGCTGCTATATTGGTTAATCAGCCAGCCAATGCTAATGCATGTAAATAGTGCAAGAATACTTGAATAGTAACATGTGCATGTTAATTGACTCCCTTTCTTAAATGTGTAACTTCTTCCACGCACCTTGCATAATAAATATTTTATATACATGTATAGAAGCTAATGGTTGACCCATCTTTTACTAAGAAAGAAAGTAAAAATTAATTTTGGTGTGTTAAAATTATTGATATATACCAGAAATATTGTAAGGTGGTAGACATTTTGACAGGACTGTGCTTATGTCAGTTCCTTAAAAAAACAAATTAAAATTTAGATTGTGGATACCTAATTTGGAATGGCATTTCTTCTCCCCCCAGTGTAATATATTGCAGATTGTTGTTGCATGTACTTAGAGCATAAACTGATTCCACACATCAGTAGAAAAACAATGCTTTTGTACTAGATTGTCTATATTATCCTCATTAATACAGTAGAACCTGAGAACAAAGACACAATTAAAAGAGCAAAAGCTATCCTTTTTCCTTCATCTTAACAGAAGGCTCCCTGAGTACAGTTTACACCACTGTGCCCCATTTTGGTTGGATTACCAATTAAAGTCAAACTCTGAGGTAAGAAATTTACATAGTATTTGAGGTTGAATAAAGATACAGGTCCATCAAGTTCAACCTTTGTGTGTAAACGGCCTAAAAATGACTTTGTTAGAAAAGAAGGTATAAGGAGGCTTCCTACAGAAAGGACTCATAGTTAGGTCTCGTTCACACCTAGGCGTATTGCATATGCGCGTCTGTCGCACGTTTTTTTTACCGCGATTCGCGGTAAAAAAAGTCGCGCGACCGTCGCGCGTTTCTGAAGCCTACTTGGCTGCATCCCAATGGAAACGCGCAACAAAACGGCCCAAAGTAGTACATGTACCTTTTCAGGCGTGGGCCGTTTTGTAGCGCGTTAGGGACGGGCGGAAATACGCTAAGGGGGGAACGAGACCATTGAATACAATGGGATTTATATTTTTCAGCGTTTTGTAGAGCGTTTGTCGAGCGTAGAACGCGCTACAAAACGTTCAGGTGTGAACGAGGGCTTAAAGTAGAAATAAAGTCTCTTTGTTTGCATATATCTACTGCTAGCAAGTAGTAGATATATGCAAAAACATTTAAAAAAATAAAAAAGTTACCGAAAAGGTAAAAACTTACCTCCGTCTCCCCCCGCTCGCTCCCGGCTGTAGATCTGAAGCTTCTCGAGCAGCCGGGCAGAAGAATGAGAGCGGGCGCATGCGCAGTAGAGATCATTGGCGGGAAGAAGAGGAGAGACACAGTGGAGGTGAATGCACGCAGCCGTCAGCGTGCACGACAGACAGACATCGTGGGACACGAGGAGTCTGCGCTGGATCAGAGACCAGCACCAGTGCTGGAGGAATTGCTGAATACAAGTGGAAGGAGGAAGATGATCGTATCAAGAGTCCTCATTTAAGGTAATTCTTTGCAGCAGGAATGGAGGGGGGGGATTTGTGATTTTAATGTCACTTTAAGTGGCATACCTGGAAGAACCAATTTCCATGAGAAACAGAGTCTATAATGTTCTCAACTTGGATAGAAAGGAAGTTTCATGAATTGTTTCAGGACCACTATATGAAGACAGGGTGAATAGGAGGTTTCATCTCCTTTGCTGAGCTCAAGGATTATGAGATTAGAAGCTTTACAGCCACCTGAGATACTATAATTGTTGATATGACTAAGACATGCATTTTTTGCATGGCATGTTGGGTATCGTTTTACTCGTTGTAACCTCATCTTTTATATTTCATTTAAAAAATGGGTAATTTGTTGTGTTTTGGGGCATTTAATTAAATTTGTCACTAAATTTTGGGGTTTAATAAGGAGTTGCGCTAATATTGCGCAACATAAAAATTTTCAACTACCACCATTTTATTCTATAGGGTCTTGGCATTCAGAAAATATATAATGTTGGGGGGTTTTACGTCATTTTCAGGCCTAAAATGTGGAATATAACATGGGTGCAAAAATTGAAAAAAGGGCCTCAGTCATGAAGGGGTTAATGAATTGAACCTAAGCATCAAGGATGTGGTTAGGATGGAGCCCAGTAGCAGAGATATTTGTATAGCCACTAGACAGGACCGATGGTAAGTATAATCTTCTAACCCTGCCAAACAGACCTTACCGCATGGCAATCGACTAGATGTTGTCGGAGATGTATTGAAAAAAATAGGATGAAACTCACTAAAGTATTACATTGTTTTTTATTTTATGAACAATGTTACTCTATAAATGTAATAAATTATAAAACAACAAATCTATTGCTGCAAATCTTCCTTCAAGTGTGCAGGAATTTAGTTTTAGTTTTGGATATTGCGTGGAAAGGTTAAACTCCCGTTTTTTAATTGCTGTCCATATCCCTACTGGGGATGTTTAGGCCTCATGAACATGGCATTCAAAGCCGTGGCTGGCGATTCCTGTGGCAAGAACATGAGGATACTTGTGCCCGGAACAGCAGGTACAGTATGTCCTCACAAATGCGGCCACTTTGCCCATTTAAATGAATGACAGGGTGACAGCGACTGCATCTCTCCATGGCCATCTGCATGTAATCATACATGGCACAATTACTTGCAGACCAGGAGAGATGCTTGTCCCAGGACGCAAGCTCTCAGCATCTACATCTGTGCAGACACACCTGGGATTCCTGCAGGCATTGGAGCGCAGTAACAGAGATCAGCACAGTTTGTTCTGGACCAGACAAAAAAAACACTGCTTGTCTCATTTTCTCTTGTCTGGAATGCACTAGAAAGCATAGAAACACATCAGAAATGCATACAAATGCACTGGAATGCACATGAAAGGCCATTTTAAACTAAAAAACAGGCTCCGGAACGCGGCAAAATCGTGGTAAAAACGTGCCAAAACGCAATGCACCGTGTTTCAGATCTGGTCCAGAAAATGGTGTGAACCTGGCCTAAAATGGGCTTTCAGGTGCGGTCCAGTGCATTTGCATGCATTTTTGCTCCGGTGCATTCCAGACCAGAGAAAATGAGACAAGCAGTATTTGTTTTGGTCTGGACCGGAACAAACTGTGCTGGTGTGAACAAAGCCCACAAATATCATTGGGATGCTTTTTTGGTCCAAGAACAAACTGTTCTGGTCTGAACATGATCCGGATATAGTGTAAACAAGCCCTAAAGCAAACCTGTGCTTCCGCCATCCCCAGCAGCACATACATATCTTTCCTTTGCTCGATTCAATCACTGGAAGCAAAGAGAGTACTTTTGGGTATGGAAGAGCAACCGAATTATTCCATGTGATAGTGCTGGACCAATCACCAAGGACTAGCGTTGTCACATGGTTAAACGCCATAGCGCTATGGTGTGAGAGGCATAAGATAACACAACAGGGTGACTAATACCCTTTACGCCCACTCTGCAAGATATAGAATAGCATGATTGTATACTCATCAAGATTCCTGACAATGGTAACCAACCATGAGGTAGTTGTAGTTGTTATTGAAATGTTCTGTTTCAAAAGACCTTTAAAAAATGATTAATAATAAAAATGTGGTAATCACTCTTACATGAACCAACATTTATAAGGTGAGCTCCATGCCTTCATTTCCTGAGTACACACAAAGAACAAAACAGAGTCAGACAATTCTTCAGGGTATTCCTTGCACTAAGGTAGGAACTGGTGCAATGTTTTGCCAACACTATGTACAGTAATTGTTGCCTTCTTTACATCTTTCCATTGCTGCACTGTTCTTAAAAGTGACTTTGTTGACTCTAGGGGTATACAGTATGTGTACTCCTCTTCTGAGTGCTGTGTATTATGACTCGGAATGAGCTTGGGCTTTGGCTGAATCCAAGCTCATCTGAACCTGGAAGGAAGCTCTAAGTGTCTGCCCAATCAGCTCTGGCTGGGGTATTCCCCGCTCCACATAGGCAAATAGGTCAATGTCATTGACCAAGTATGCCCATGTGGCCATATAGAGTCAATGTCATCCTGCCCCTTTGTTCACTTGCAGCTATGGGGCAGCAAATGCCCTGGTCACAGCTGATTGGTCCGGCACTGCCAATTTCCTTCTGTGTTCAGATGAGCTCAGATTTGGTCCGAACCCCTAATTACAAAGATTTTTACTGCAACGTACATGTTGTGTGAGAAATCAAATCCGACTTAGATCATTGGTTAAGCTGCACATGTGTGTTTGAGGTAATCAAGTGAATAGGATGGTATAATATAATTTAAGAGGATAAAGCTATTTGATCACAGGGGGAAAGCTGCTATATGCTTTTGGGAAACAAGCAGTAACCTACAGTATATTATGAGGGATGTAGAAACTTTTCCCAACCTCACAAATAAATGTAGCTTCTGAATATGACTACTGTAACGAAATGTAATGAATGTAAAATGCTGGTTAAGGGTCACTATCAGTGTGATCTTCATCGGTACTATATTCCTGTTTGTCTTCTTCAGATTCATTGGCAGAGTCCTCCTGATCATCACCATCGCCCTGCAAATCTTCTATTTCCAACATGCCTTGTGAGCTTCAGGGGAACAAAAATAAATAGTTCAATATGATTAGCACCAGCACTGTTTCCTATCACTTCACTTCTACTATTTATTTAAACGCTGACTTGTTATGCATTCCTTACAACATACGTAAATGTATTCAGCAAGCAGAACAGTGCAGTGATCAGGAACAGAGCTATCCAGCACTCATGTTGGGGCTCAAATTCTATATGTTCCCCACAACTGTGAAGGTTACTTTTGGGTGCTTCTGTGTTTTCCAAAGCCCCAAAACATATCGGAAAGTTGGCTTCTGACCCAAACGACTCTAGAATGTGTGTGGGCTTGGGCATCAGTCCTAGGGATGTTGGATTATACAGCTGCAACAACTAATCGACTAAATCGATTATAATCGATTATTGAAAAAGTTGTCAACGTTTTCAATCATCGATTAATCGGCCTCTGATTAGTTGGCCCACGCACGCCACACCTCCTCCCCACCTCACGCTCGACACTGCCAGACCACCTGACGTTTGTAGGCAAATTAGCTACAATTGGCTATAATTTTGCGCTGAAGTTGCTAGAGGGCCAGACCATTATAAAGAGGGAAGCAGGTTGTTTACCACAATAGTAGAAGTTATTTTTTTCTGAAGATATGGGTAAACCACGCGATTTAACAGCCTTTGAACGTGGGATGATTGTTGGCGCTCAAGCCATGGAGCGAGTATCAGCAAAACAGCAGAATTAATTAAATGTTCAAGAGCAGCTGTTGTTAAAGTGTTTAAAGACTGGACTGTCAGCCAAAAATCTGGGTCTGAACGTGTGAATTGTGGCCGTCAGCGACTAGTCAATGTTAGGGCAGAACGGAGAGTGGCAAGACTTGTACAAGACAACAGAAGGGCAACAGTGCAGTGTCAGATTCCTAGCATCACCTTTCAACATCTCGTGGAGTCACGAGGCGGCCCAACGAAGTCATCTTGTGGAGTCATCTCATGGCCTAACGAAGTACTGATGGGGTGGTCATAATAATCTGGCCACTCAGTGTATAATTTGCTTTGAGTTTTACCACTCCACTATTACATAACAATCACATGTATGTGATTTCCTTTTTACCAGAAACCTTTGTCAGCTATAATTTGGGGTAAATATCTGGGGACACAAGATGTAGGTAAAAGTTGCATTGGGAAATTTGCAGGAAATATCCTTGTTTTTGTTCAAAATTTCCTCCATTTCTTTGTAATTTGAGTCTAAGAAAAACAAAGTATATACAATACATCCAAATCTGTCACCAAACAAAATCCCCTTTGTCCTAAAATCCTCAAACAATGACGTAGAATACGTAAGGTAGGATACAAAAACTAAAAGGTACAAGGTATGGAACTGAGACAGCTTTGATACTGTTAATTTAATGACCATGAACGAGTGATATGTGACATATAATATTACCCCTCTTCATCATCTGAATTCACTATGTCTTCCTTTGTTGAATTAGGACCTTTGTAAGATCCTGAAGTCTGGAATGTTTGGCCTTTTGTTAACACAAAACCATCAGGCAATCTGGCATCTTTCAGGACACTGGAGTAGTGCTTTTTAACACACAGGCGAGCGTTTTCCTACAAACGGGTCACAGAAGACAAAAGACAAATGTTTCAATAAACCTATTGAAAGGCAACTAAACACAAGGCAGTCACATATTGTAACATACAATTTCCCCAAATAGCGTAAAATCCATGAACCCATAGCACTCGAAAACTGCCGTTCCAAAGAGATAAGGGTGGGTGCTGCGGTAGTCAACGGCTGGCAACCGCGGTGCACATGTCCAGACTCCAGAACACTGTATAGTGTGGCACAGCTATATCCAATTCTGCATACCTGGCTTTATATTATAAACAATTTATAATATAAAGCCAGGTATGCAGAATTGGATATGGCTGTGCCACACTAAACAATACAGTGTTCTGGACATGTGCTCATCTAATTTTCCCCACTAGGGGGATACAAGCCTTAGTTAGCAATGGCATGATAAATATTCATTTCATGTTCTTCATAATATGAAGAAACTGACCTAAAATCATTATTTTGTATTGCTTTAAAAAAATGTGACCTGCCCCTTTAAGACAATGTATCGGTAATTGGTATCGGCGAGTACTTGGGAAAAAGCATCGGTACTCGTACTCGGTCTTAAAAAAGTGGTATCGGTGCATCCCTAGTGGTGAATAACTAGTAGAATATACAGAGACACCGGCACCCTAATAGTGAATCAAATACGTCTCTGTTTATTGACCTATGAGTGGCATAGTGTGATACACTTAATGCAACATTTCATACAGGATCCCCTTCATCAGGCAGAACAAGATAACCGGTGTGACCCCAAAACGTCACATTAAGTGTATCACACTATGCTACTCATACGTCAATAAACAGAGACGTATTTGATTCACTATTGGAGTGCCGGTGTCTCTGTATACTCTACTAGTTATTTCCCCAAATAGGACACAGCAATGAAAACCTAATAAAGGTTCTAACCCTTGCCCACACCGCAATACAAAGGTTTTGGTTATACAGTAAAGTGGATACGGGACATAATATACACGCACAAAGACTAATCCGATCTCTCAGAACTGGTAGGCCCAGTACAAACCTTTCGAACCCTCTCTAGTAAGAGGGGTGTCTGGGAGACTCGGTCTTTCATTGCATCCAACTCTTCCAGGTACTCTTCCATCCTCTGTTTTTCACTTCTCCTGTTGTACAATTTCCAAAAATAGTAAAGGGCCATTTATGTATTATAGAATCAAAAAACAAAACATAGATAATATTCATTGAAATGATTCTTGTTCACTACAGGAGTGATCTCAATCATTGGAATTCTAAAATAATCTAGCCCACAGTTTCACACGAGGAATGGAGTGCTCATATTACAGCCGAGCTGTTGGCAAGTAACAAAGTCTCCTTAGGCACCCAACCACAGAGCCTTCCATGATAGGCTGTCTATTGCTTTATTTTAATAAACAAAGTCCTTATCCAAAAACACAGGAAGCTTATAAATTAGGACCTCTTCTGAAATTGGGAATTCAACTGTTACACAGGTGCAGGCAACGTAACAGCCATATGGCTGCACCACCAATTATGTTACTTGAATCATATACTATGGGGGGAATTTATCAAAACTGGAGCAGACAAAATCTGGAGCAGTTGCCCATGGCAACCAATCACCTTTTCTCTTCAGTCTGTTCAGTTGAGATCAGAAAATGAAAGATAGAAGCTGATTGGTTGCCATGCACAGCTGCTCCAGTTTTGATAAATTCCCCTCAGTATGTTTAGTGCCTTAGTGACTATGGTGACTTGTAGCAAACGGCATTATAGAATCAGCTTATCTTTCCTGTCCCATCACATAAATACAAACACAGAAAACTGACACTCAGGTAACAGAAAAGCTATTAAAGGAGAACTATGGGGTCAGGGCTTTTCCCCATAGTTCTCCTTAGGGTAACGGGAGGACACAAACTAGCATCCTCCCTTTACCCTAAGCTCAGTATCCCGCGAGCTACGGCTCGCGGTATACTGAGACGCCGGAGCGGATCCCGACATCGATGGCGAGATTCGCCCAGCTGCGTGAGTGACAGCTGGCTCTGCCTATCTAGAGGCAGAGCCAGCTGTACCCGCCCCCTCCCCCGTCCGTTCCACCAGTCAGCGCTGGCGGATCGGAGCGGGGGGAATCCAGCCCCTCCCCTGTCACGGCAGAGAGCTGTGACAGGATCGAGAGGCGAGCGAATGCCGCTATATGTTCGCTAACCTCCCGATCTACTGAGCCGACCTGTGACAGTCTCATTGTCACAGGTCGGTTAGAACTATGAGGTGAGTGAAAGCACTCACCTCATAGTTCTCCTTTAAGCACATTGTTAAAGGAAGGTGATTAGCAACTACCAAGTACAGCTCCTGTTGTCCGGTAAAATGTAAGAATCTTGGAGATAGCACTGTCTAAGCGCAGTTATTACCTGAGTTCTTTTAATTTACTATGTAAGTTTTTGGCTTGTTGTGGGTGGATAGATTTAACTTTCCTAGTTATATGCTTCTTCAATAGTTTTTGTCTCTGCTTCTTTCTTGCCTGGATCCTTTTCTCATCGTCTTCTTTTTTTACTTGTTCTTCAAGAAACTTCCTGGTCGGGGAAATAAACTGACTCAAACTTGTTCTAATATCTAAAAGGATCTTGGGATTAGGATCATACTAGGTGCACAGGGGGTCACTATGGGGATAGGCGTCCTGTTCTCTAATCTACTACTATTCTATAAAACGTCAGGATCTGGAGGGGAATATAAACAGTATAGAGCAGGAAGGCACTACATGCATAGTTTGGTTTTACTAAACATGGTGGATGGTTAGGTACTTTTTTAGAAAATTTTTACAAACAATTTCACTAATGTACACATTATTTTAAATAACTGAGTAATAACATGCATTTGAGGGAAAAAATGCTTGCAAGAAAACATTTGAGGTTTGATAGGATCATCTATTCAGAAAAATATGAAGGAAGAACCATATGACCTTGTAGAAAAACAGCCGTATAATACAGGTATTCAGCAATCATGGCTCTCCGCTCTACTTTTTCAAAGAGGGTTGTTCAAGGATTGAAACCCTTGGCTTATTAACATTCATTGAAGAGCTGAAGGCTGTTTGAACTCTGAAAGGCTAAATTTATGAAACCTTGAGAGAAGAAAATGAGCACAAATCTGGAGTTTGCTGCAAACAGCATGTTCTAAATGGACAAATACAGTACATTTGGACTGGATCACTTTATTGATCATTTTTCCCCCTCAAAATTCCATAATCAAGGCCTAAGACATTAATGTGCTACACCAACATGGGTTGTTAGTGAATTTGTGGCATTAGGTATCTCCCCATATCTCCCTTGTCACCTGGTCTATCTCAGCAAGGCTGATTTCAGGTAAGAAATCAAGTTTCACACAGCTCATGGATGCTAAGGAACGATAACCACATTGCATGGGATGTAAAGATTCTTCACTCTTTTAAAACCACTCCTAGACCAGGATTTCTCTCATTCCTTAGCCAATAGACTGAGGACGGTGAATGAGGGAACCTCTCTCCCCCCTTTAGGTATGCTGATTGGGATATAACTAAAAGAAAAGGCTCAGTGTGGAACCTACAAGGACAAAGGTGTCACATTTGGATTTTATTTTGTTTAACATAATAGTATTGAGAGCATTTTTATAGTGCTATTGCTGCTTTTCCAGGTTGCTCATAAACCCTTACAGGACGCCTCCTTTAAAGCAAAGAGCTAGAATCAGCATTGCAGGGAAGCCACATACTCACTGCACTCTTTAACTGTTTTGAAAGTCTAGCAATGGTCATGCAACATGACACGAGAACTTTTGGAATGTGTTGTACCAACTTTTCACTTGCTTTGACCAAGTTAAAAGCTCAAGTATTCTTAACATCAGAAATAGCTTTTTGTTACATTTGCAAATGGTAAAATCCTAAAAGCAAACTTTCAGACAGGAATCAAGCCATTCAAGCATGTGATAATGCCACTTGATATGCCACTTTTACTAAGCAATAGAATACATATAGAATAGAATAAATCAGAGTTTGATGAATCAAAAGCATGAATCAATTATGCAGATATACAGCTTGATCTATAAATAACATCTGCATGTGTATGCATACAAGCTTACAAACAGTCCACATGCCCCAATAACCATATCTGTTTACCTAATAGCTTGTTCTCTTCTTTTGGAAGATTCTGTGGATCTTGGACTTACAACTTGAGCCTCCTCACGTGGAGATACCACCAAGGAATTTTTCTGTGGCTGCCTCCTAGGAGATTTAAAAGGCCAACGTGTCTCCTTTAAACTTTCTTCATCTGCTTCAATGTCCTTGATAATTTTTTCCCTATGAGATGGAATATTATCTGTATGTAGTTGAAAAGGGGCACAGATGGTCACATGCTTGGCATTTTTTTTTTTTTTAAGGCGTTTCTGGTTGTTCTGATGCACAACCTGAAAATTGGGTATCTGGGTATTTATCTTAGGCCGCCTCTCTGGTTCTTCTGTCAGTTCATAACATCTTGCTTTGCAACTTTTTGGGCTATGCCTACAAGCCAGTGTAGGGGTAGGATAAGAGGAGCTGTGCAAGAGTTCCTGGGATCTCATGTGTATCCTAATTCCACGATATAGTTCTTCTTCCTTAAATCTCTCATTAACAGAAGTCCCATATATAGATTTTGGGACTGGTCTTGCTTTGAAGTGCTTAAAATGATTGACTGAATATTCATGATCAACAAGTTGAATCTTGCTGAATTGTTTCTTGCGATCTTCTCTTTCATTGAACTGAAACGGTTTCTGAGATGCCAAAAGAATCTCCTTGCTTCTTTCTTTTACAAATCTGCGCCTCTCTTCATTTCTTTCCATTATCTCGTGGTAGAGGGGAAGGTAGACTGAAGCTGGAACTGGGTTCGCTCTGAACATCTTTTGACATTCCGCCTCTTCTTCCAGTCTTTTCTTCAGCAAATTGTTCTCCAACTCAATCTCTGATTTGGACTTAGCATTTGCATTCAACTCCTTTTTCTTAGACTCCCTAATAGTCATCTCAAAAGGTTCCGGAATGGTAACTCTATGAGACCATTCTTTTGGCTTCCCTTTGTCAGTTTTATGTTTTAACTTTTGCTTATCAAAGGTGGTGTCCTTAATGTAATCCTGTACACTGAATCCATTCCACATTTGAAGGATTTTCTCTGTGGCAGAAGTAGAATCCTGTGTATCACAGCTGTCTTCTCCATCAGACTGCTCCTCAAAAGATGCTTCTGATACCCCAGAGGACACATTCCAATTAAAGTCAGGTTTTAATAAGGAACTATCCAATCCATCAGGCTGATAAGGTCTCTGCTCCCATGCTGGCCTTAAAATGAAATAAAAACATGATAAAGGGCAACTCTAGTCAATAAGTAAAATCACTTTTGTGAACTGTTGATGCTGTCTGTGCTTAAGTCAGATATGCCACGCAATTTACCTTTAATCTAATGTGATCCATTGCACACTTGAGGCTGCAAGATTTTTACATGTGCTTTGGGATCTTTTGAATATGATTCTTTGAAACTTTCCTTTCTTTGTCTGTCTGAGGTGCAGCAGGGAGTTTACACTCAATGGGGCTGTAAATACCTGGCAACATTTTCAAGCAAGTGATCAACTGGTGTTCCCAGAAAACCTGACTGCCACAAATAAAAAGTGGTTTTAAAGTGGTTCTGTCATTGATGGCCTCCTCCTTAAACTACTTGCCTGGCTCTTTTTGACTTAAAGGAGAACTATGGGGTCAGTGTTTTTCCCCATAGTTCTCCTTAGGGTAACGGGAGGACACAAACTAGCATCCTCCCGTTACCCTAAGCTCAGTATACCACGAGGTACAGCTCGCGGTATACTGAGACGCCGCAGCGGATCCCGACATCGACGTTGAGATCCGCCCAGCTGCGTGAGTGACAGCTGGCTCTGCCTATCTAGAGGCAGAGCCAGCTGTACCCGCCCCCTCCCCCGCCCATTCCGCCAGTCAGCGCTGGCAGATCGGAGCGGGGAGAGGGGAATCCAGCCCCTCCCCCTGTCACGGCAGAGAGCCGTGACAGGATCGAGAGGTGAGCGAACCCGGTATGTGTTCGCTCACCTCCCGATCTACTGAGCCGACCTGTGACAGTCTCATTGTCACAGGTCGGCTAGAACTATGAGGTGAGTG